TGGCGCCGGCCTTGCTTCCTGTGGATCGTTTGTAAACAAACTGGTTGTTCCAATCAATAGAAAGGTCTGTGATAGGAAATCTTGCATTATGTTTTATTGGGTATAATTGGCTATGTGTCATAACTGTTTTTCTAAGTTTATACCAACATAAACAAATATTTACTATTTATTTATTTTTATTAAAAATTATATTTTAAATTAATTTAATTGTGTTAAAAATTGCATAATTTAATCAGTTTTTAATAAAAGAAAATTAAGTGTTCATAAGATATTTAAAATTTATACCGCTAATTTCTAAAAATAACCGCAATTAAAAATATAATAAAAATATGAAAGGTTTCAGATTTTAACGGTCTCCCAAAAGGGTTTGTTAAGGGTTTCTACACTTCCACGGAAAAGAAGCCCGAATTTTGAATTTCGAATTTGTTTTAATATCTATTTTATATTATATAAAACTGTAACGAATTTTTGATTAACGAACTCAGCGATTTCAAGGCGAGCATGGCAACACTGTACGGAACGGAAATAAACCTTTTTGTCTCCAGCCTGAAACAGTGTATCGGAAGTTCTAAAGATATGCTGTTTTAAAATATTTTGTGATATGGTTGTTGAACTGAATTTTATGTGGCTTAAATGCTAAGATCATGATATTTTATAATATTTATAAATAAAGGTAACACACAAAACGTTATGAAAAACGCCTCCTTGCGTGTAATATAAAATCTAAAAATCTTTCAAATTTTATTTTAGGTATTATTATTATGAACATTATGTGTGTTAAATTGATTAATTAAATATCACGTTCCTCATACTTACGCTACATAAAATTCAACTGAACAGCAAAATCATAAAATGTTTCAAAACAGCATATCTTCAGAATTTATGATATACAGTCTCTCACGCTGGAGATAACAATATTTTAATCCGTACAGTGTTACCACTTTCACTTCGTTAAGCGAAATTAAAATTTCATTAAAGTCTAATGAATTGTTAAAAATTTATTAAAGTCTTAAAATATATAAAATATAAAATTCGGGCCTTCAGGTGCACGTGTTCGGGTGGAGGACTATGTTATTCAGAATTTGATGGCCCTAGATGCCGTCGTTTTACGACAGTACGAGAAACAGACATATTTTCATGCAGATTCTTCATTATTTAATTTCTTTAAAAGTAATACAGGGCGATAATATTTCAGGAAAAAAAATTGAAAAGTTATTCAGACACCGTCAAATCCTGTGCCGAGACAAGCAGCTCATTCGGGCTAACGCCTTTTTGGATTAATAATAAATTTAATAGAATAATAACGCTAAATGAAGATCATAATTTTATTTTTTCCTGTGTTATTTCTGTAATATCAACCAATCTAAATTAATTTTGAACTGTTTTTCAGTTTTCTAATTAAAAAAGATATAAAGATTTTATTTAAAGAGGTTTTTAATTAAAGTACCACTTTCGGTTTTATCATATGCAGTTAAATATGTTGTTCCGAGTCAACACAAAAAAGGATTAAAAAGTTCTTGCTTTTAATTGTTTACAGCAATGAATTTCGACTGGCTAGTGAAAGAAAATATGTAATTTTCCCTCAAATAACAAAATTAACATACCTGTGTCGCCATCTATTGAGCGATATTGATAGCAAGATAAAAAGACACAGGAAAAAATTGAAATGGTAAAGTACTTTGGGAATCTGGGGTTTGAATTAAACTAAGATGACATAATTCTACGATTCTGTAGTGTATAGGGAAATGAAATTCGGGAACTGAAAACATTATTGAAAAAAATATCAACAGAATTCTAAAAAGGCCAACTTTTGATTGCGTAAATCGACCTCGAAGATTTACAAACAATAAATATTCAAAATATCATGCTTGAATATTTACATTAATATTTCGATGAGCGAAATATTAATGTATCCTCGAAAAGAAGCAATAGTACAAATAACATTACATAGCCAAATGAAAAATTACAACATGCATTTCTAATTGAAATTTTCGTTTATAAAACCAGTCGAATTCGGGAAACATATTCAACATCATTGTTTTGCTGTCTAAAATAACAGTGACTACCAGTTAATTAGATGTTATATCACAAATTTTATGGCATTATGTTTTTATTATATGGCACAACACAAATTTTTATGATTAATTTTCTATAATTTACTGAAGTTTAAAATTCTATTTTATAAATTTGTGACATTACCAGTTCAGAACCACACTGATAAATTAAATCTACTTTCGTTACCCTAAACCGATGACGATGACGTGGCGAAGGAGGCAATTAGTCCAAAGGGGCTTTGTCCCTGAAGGACTATTGTTTTCATTTTGCGATTTTACGTTGATTCACTATAAATGTCCGTTTCTTTTTTCAAACTGTTGCCACCCAATGTTAGAGAACTGCATTATATTTAAAGAAATTAAATGACGAAAAATCTGCATAAATGTGTGTATATTTCTCGCATTGTGATAAAACAATGGTACATAGAGCCATCGAATTTTGAATGACGAAATCCTACTGCGAATATGGGCATGTGGAAGACCAAATTTGAAATTTAGAATTTGTTTTATTATCGATTTCATATTTTGTAAAACTATAACGAATTTTTGAGTAACAAACTCAACGATTTGAAAGCGAGCAATGGCAACAGTCTACGGCGGGGGAAGGAAAAAAAAAAAAAAAAACTTTTTATCTCCAGCGGACGCGGAACTGTGTATCGGAAATTCTAAAGCCAGGCTCATTTTAAAATTATTTTCCGACATTCCTATTGAACTGAAATTTATAGTTTAAGTTCGAAGAACATGATATTTAATAAATAAAGGAACACACAAAACGTTAAAAAATCACCCCTTTGGACGTAATTTAAAACAGATTTGTCGAGCTATTGTTTTCCCAGAGAAGCTATTGTTTTCGTTTTGCAATTTTGCGTTGAATCACTGTGAATGACCGTTTCCCTTTTCGAACTGTTACCACCCAATATTATCGCCCTGTATTATATTTGAAGACACTAAATAATGAAGAATCTGCATAAATGTATACATGTTTCTCGCACTGTGATAAAATTACCGTCCCTAGAGCAATCCCAATTTGAATGACGTACTTCTGCGAATCTGGGCATCTGGAAGCCCAAATTTGAAATTTGGAATTTGTTTTATTATCGATTTCATATTTTGTAAAACTTCAAGTTTAAGATTTTAAGAATTTTTGATTAACAAACTCAAGAATTTCGAAGCGAGCAATGGCAACGTTGTAGAGAAAAACAATTTTTATCTCCAGCGCGCTGTGTATCGGAAATTCTAAAGATAGGCTCATTTTAAAATTATTTTGCGATATTGCTATTGAGCTGAATTTTATGGTTTAAGTTCGAAGAACATGATATTTAATAAATAAAGGTAACACAAAATGTATTAAAATGCTCAATGCAACTAGAAACAAAGTAATTAATACCTATTTGAACCTTAAAAAGAAGAAAAATAATAATAATAATAATAATGTGCATCGTCTTTCTCCACGACATATCGCCGAACACAGAACGCGCTGCAGATTTCTTTATGAAAAACATGTATCCTAGCAAAAAAGCGAAAAATGTTCCGACAATAAATAAATCTTGAGTGTATTTAAATGACTGTAATAAAAAATTCATTTATTATCATTAAAAAGGAGAAAAAAATCATAAAAATGGTTCAGAGAATCTAAGGAAATTTTTCAAAGGAATTTATGACTGTTGCTTGTTTTCAAATAACGGCAAAGTAAAAAAGAGTGAACAGAAATGCTAAGATCGATTTTATATGTTCTGAGGAATGTATTTTATATCCAGTTTTCAAATATGAAATGCCTCCTGTTTACGCGTACAGTGGGGTACAGCTAATGAAGAATAAGTGCTATCAAATGTAACATTTAAAACACAAAAATTTTAGGTAAAATATTTCTGTAAATACAATTGAAATCGTCTGAAAAATGTCCGAATAGCCTGTGTAGGATTATTTTGAGCGCAAGATGAACAATTTAATATTATTATTTTATAAACAACTCCGCTTAAAAATATTTTCATTGTTATTCTCGTTTGCTAAAATTTCCTTTTAATTTAATTTTTTTTAAGTTCCAGCGATTTCGTAAGTTGTAAATGCAAAACGAATATATTATTCACTCGCTTCTTCCGTTTCCCTATGTGATTGCTTCGTGGTATCATTAAATGTCTCATTCGTATTTATATCATCCTAGTTTCCTTTATCTGCGTAATTATTTTTATCTATTTATTTTTTGCGTGCACAAATGTGCAGTTATCACGGAGTTTATTCGTGTCAAGATGTAAATATAATTTTTAAGGAAGTAGATGTTTTACTGAAGCACATGGGGGTTCACTCGTAAAAATAATTTTGAACTCGACATACTAATAAGCCCCCCAGAACAGCTTACAGACCAGAATTTTCTTTACCAAAATTAAAATTGTTTTTATTAAATTTTTTTAAAAATATTTCAGAGAATTTTATAAAAAGAAAATCTGAAAGCTCTCAGATTTTATATTATGCTCAAAAGGCTCCCCCCTTTTTTTTAACGTTTTGTGCGTTACCTTTATTTATTAAATATCATGTTCTTCTCATTTAAACCACATAAAATTCAATTCAACAGCAGAATCACAAAATATTTAAAACAGCATATCTTCAGAATTTCCGATACACAGTCTCGCGCGCTGGAGATACAAGTGGTGTTTTATATATATATAAATCCCATACGGTGTTGTCATTGCTCGCTTTGAAATCGTTGATTTTGTTAATCGAAAATTCCTTAAAGTTTTGCATAATTTAAAAGACATAATAAAACAAATTCGAAGTTCAAAATTCGGGCTTCCGTGTGCCCATGTTCGGTTGGAGGACTACGTTATTCAAAATTGGATGTTTCTAGGTACCGTTGTTTTTTCACAATGCGAGAAACATTTATTATTAAATTTTGCTTACATTCTCTTATATCACCTTTATTTCATTTCTTTTTCTTTTCCTTTCTTTCAGATTTCTCGTCGTGCTGATATTTATGGTCTTCGCACTTTGTATATGCCTAATACCGTTTTGTATATTCTGTAAATGGCGGCCGGATGAAGACGACCAGTGGACAAATCCTGCTTTTGACAACCAAGTAATGAAACCCATACATATTTTTTCACTTCTTTTTTGTAAATAAAAATTTTGCTCGTGGGAGAGCATGTATTTGTGCGTTTTACATAATTTATTTTCTTGTGAAAAAATATTATTGCTCTTCCATAATCTGGCCAAATTAATATTTTGATTCCCATTTTTTTTTTTTTTTTAAGACTGCTCGAGTTTTTTTTAAAGCAGTATTTATTGAATACCGACAAGTGAAAGATCAGCTATGCCTTTGCCAGGATTCGGACCACGGATCTATTGACTGCTGGCTGAAACCACTTACACCATGAGAGTACGTAGCAGGGAAGGTGGAAATTCTTTATAATTAATTCTTTATTCTTTATTATATTCTTTTATTTTTTTTATATTCTTTATAATTCTTCTTAGCGTGCCTTCGTGGTGTAGTGGTCGGGACGCTCGATGCGTATTCGAGAGGTCCGTAGTTCGAGTCCTGGCGAAGGCATTGCTCATTTTTCATCTCTCCTGCTATCAAAAAATACCGAATGTCTCTACAGTAGCGCCCGAACTAAAAAATGTGGTGAATGATGATTTTTCACCACCAGAATTTGGCGATTGGGTCCCCTAAAAAATACAACCCAGTCGCCCTTTAAAATAGAGAGTAAGTATATAAGGTATTTCTCACGCCTTCTTGGCGTGCCTTCGTGGTGTAGTGGTCAGCATGCTCGACGGGTATTCGAGAGGCCCGTGGTTAGAGTCCCAGCAAGGGCAATGCTCATTTTTCATGTTTCCTGATTTGAAATAACGTAAGGTATCTACAAGGTCATCTGCCAAAGAAGAGAGTCCGCTTGCGAAGGACATTTTAACAGAAAGTAGCTCGTAATCGTATTACACGTAGAACCACAAAAACTCCATGACAACAAAAAAGGGGAAAAATTTCTATGGGGTGAGGAAACCAGGAAAATTCCACGGATTTAGCCTTTCGTCAAAACTTAATACACGAGAAGAATTACCAGCATTCACTAGTTTAACACTGAGAAATTTAACCGTAGAACTAATTGCGTGATGAGAAAAACTAATATTCTCTCTATAATACTCCTTTGTCTCCTTTTTCTGACTACAAAAAAATTTAAAAAAAAAGATTTTCTGAGGTTTAGGCCTGGAAGCCATCATCTTATAGGGTCCTAACTGCGTAATATTTAGAGATAAGCAAAGCTGCTATTTCACGGGATCGGAACAGAACGGTTACGCTCCCCGAAATGAATCGAACTTTTTTATGACTCAGCGCTCATTGACAATAACCTTGATGAAAAAGATCATGAACGAAGAATGAATCAAGAGCATTTAGCGAGGATAGAGCGAAGAGCGGAAAAAATCGAACGAGCAGTGGAATCGAGACCGGTTACTGAAGTTTGAACGAGAGTGAAAAGAATCGAACTAGGAATGGGATCGAAAGAATCGACGCAATCAACATGTTGATTTAACATGTTGAACTCGGCGCCGAATTTGTTGTCCTTTCCGTTCAGCCGGCAGCGAGCTAAGTCGTATTTTTGTTTAGAATGTTTCAATACATTTCATTAGAACTAAATATGATCACATTTCATTGAGACTATATTTATTTTTTAACTTTAATACTGTCGGTCCCGCGGACCGATGCCAGCCAAACGAAAATTCCAGTGTCGGTCCCCAGGGACCGACGCCGGCCACACGGAAAATTTACTGCCGGTCCCCAGGGACCGCCGCCGCGCTCAACGTGTTAATGAAAAAAATTAAGGACCTGTCAACAAAAGGGAACTGTATAAATTCAATTAAAGACATTAGCTATGCCAGAGCTTCACTTTTGTAATACCATCCTAAGAATAAAATAGATCCACAAGTAGAATGCATTATTGTTAAACACTAGCAGCTTCGCTGCCAGCCTTCGTCTGGCTTTTGAATGTACCGGAAAAATGGCTGAAGAGAACACCAAACGTTAAATTTAAAAACTGCGTAGAAATTTACTCTGCAGAACAACTTCATAAAAAAAAAAAAAAAAAAAAGTATTACGTACGACAAAATTACAATGAAATAAGCAATATCCCTTAATACAAATATTAATTATCCTAATAAATCAATTAACCAACTTCCCTTTGTAAAATCTTAAGAACTCAAATGGTATAAAGGAGATTAAGAATACAAATATTAATTATCCTAATAAAAAAAAATTAACCAACTTTCCGTTAAAGGAAAAAAATCATGCAAAACTTTTCAATATCTTACAAACAGTGAAATAAGCAAAAAATAACATGAAAGAAACTCAAAAAACAAAACATTCCGCGCAAAATTTTACTCTGCAGAACAACTTTATCAAAAAAAAAAAAAAGTATTATATATATATATATAAAATGACAATGAAATATGCCAATCTCTTAAAAACAGTGACATAAAGAAATACGATGAAAAATTGTTGCCAAACCCATATTTCTAAAAGAATGAAACTATTCAAAATGATGCGATTTCATCAAAAATCTATCAACAACAATAAGAAAGGAAAATTGTTGCCAAGATGTGAGATATGTACTCGGAAGCTTCATTTAAAAAAAAATTTTAAATACAAAATATTATCACTTTTCCAAAATTCTTTTTGTAAAAGCAGTCGCAAGGATGAAAGTTTAACGTGTCCAAAAATCAAAGAAAAATAAACTGTACATTTTTAAAAATAAACATTTTTAGAAAAAAATCCCGTTGAAAAGGTGTTAAGTTCACTTTGTTAAATGAATTCGTATTTAATCGATTTATTGAAATGTTCGTAAAATAGCTAAGTGCCTATGTTTCATGACGATGTGAAAATGGAGTGTGTAAAGTAAAATCTCGCTTTCCTATAGCGAATTATGTCTCAATATGACGCGATTTCGTAACATAAACAAAACATAAAATTAAAAAATTCGAATTCGAATTTCGAAAAAATCGTTTCGAGGTGCACTGGCTCTTGTCTAGATGCACCTATGTACCAAATTTCGTAGCCGTGGGTCTATTAGCTTACGCGCAGCGTGAACGAAAGACAAACACACACACACACACACACAGACAGGCTCTTTCTTTTATTATATGTAGAGAAGAGATAATTTAATAAAAAATAATTATAAAAAAAATTTGAGAATAAAATCAACTTATTAATAAATCAACTAAAATTTATAAGAGAATAAAATCAACTAAAATTTATCCAGTAGCATTAAATGTTTTACACTAATAATACGAGTAATTGGACATATTTGAAAGAAGATTAGTGACATTTTATTTATGTTTTACTGACAGTTAGTTCTACTTGACTCTTTCTTTTATGTCTCTTTTATGTCTAGAGTTTTAGTAAATAGCAGGTAGATTTTATGTCCAATGGCATAGGTTAAAATGAAAGTCAAATCATAATCAGCATGATTCGTTAGAGAAGATTGGCCGTTGCCACCGCTGCTGCTTGCCTAGAGAGAGACCTGCCGATCAGAACAGACTTAAAAAGTCTGATGTAGGCACGGTTGGCAGGTTTTGATATTTAGTTATGCTCTATCTATCATAGCTCCGTGTAGAGTTCCTAGGGTTGTAACGCAGTTAATACACTTTAAGGTTCCAAAAAGCCATTAATGCTCCAGAGGTGATAAGTTGTTTTCTATTATTTTAAGTCTAACTAGATGCAAAGAATTAAGTTTTACATTTCTTTGCTGCATCTTGTGACCACGGTAAGGATTAATGTAAGGCAATAACTAGCTTTAAACATGCAGCAGTAACTTTTAAGGGTGAGCAGGTAGTTGCATTAATTAAATTAAGTAGTTAAATACTCTTAGTCATTAAAGATTCACATGGCCACAATTAAATTTTATTTTTTTAAATGCTTGTTAAAAAAATCTGTTGTGTGCACCACATGACTTCCTTGTACGGAATATTAAATTATACGCACTTTTTCTTGCATTTAATTTTAACTTATTGGATTGAATTAAATCTACTTCGCCCACAGCGCATAACCACAATAGAATAAATACATTCTTTAAAATTCACTCTATTTGTTTACCATAGCGACCCTATGGCATTAGGTTCACTTAACAGTATTATATTTCGTTCATATTATAACTCAGAATGCACAAAATTTATATCATTTAAAGAATTATCGAATCGTTGCCACATGTTCTATTCAAATACTATAATAAAGCTAGAACGATGTATAAAAGAAATTAAGCAAACAAAACAAAAAAAGAAACAGTTTTTAACAGACGATTGAGTATTTCTCATTCAATTAATTCAGTTCTCGCTTCGCTACAAGGCAAAAACACATAAAAACTCAAAATATCTGTATTAAAAATTACGAAGTAAATCTTAAACGCTTATTTCCTCGAAAAAATTCCAGAAAGGATTAAGCATGATTTAAATAATAAATGAAGGATGTTATCTTTGTTGTTGTGAAGCTAAGTTTCTCTAGATTGACAACAAATCCACTATTCTGCTGTTTCAAATGTAAACAAGCAATGGCCACCATCAAGAACCTTATTAGGCTTAGCGGCACTTAAACAACTTTTAAATTGTTGATAATTCTAAAAATATTGCATACAGATTTACTAAAGGCATACAAACCTTAACCGGAAGATAAGAACAACATAATTCGATCATTTTTTTAAAGCAAAAAATGTACAATTTACAAACATATAAGAGTAAAGAAACTGAGATGACTGAGCTGGATAACAGAGTGGATATATACTATATATAAATATATTTATATACGTTTGGTGCGGCCGATTGCAACCAAAATACGAGGTGCACATGTACATGTTATAGCAGTCCTATATACAAAATTTCAACGTTCTGAGGTACTCGTTTTTGAGTAATGCGAGATACGTACGTACGTACATGCGTGCGTACGTACATAGGTTCGTACAGACGCCACGAAAAATTCTCTTCAGAATTCATTTTAGAGCAGTTTTATAATTTTTTGGAGGAAAAGAGTCTTTTATTCTGTCCTTACGTACAGATATCACGCAAAAACATCGTTAAATTGCATTCGATAGCGGTCAA